TCACTTAATCTTTCTAGGTCTCAATTTCTATCTGTAAAATGGAGATACGGCAACGAAGATACAGCAACGAAGAGAGTGGTGTGCTCTGATAACATGTTATGTGATAGCTCGTGAAGTGCCTCAGACAGATGATAGCTCCACAAACATCTACCTGATACGGAGCGTCCGCCTCCAGAGAAGGAGGCATGCTCAGCCCTTACTATCCCTGCCAGCACTGCCTAAGGGAAGAGCCATTCCTTGCATGGACTTCCAAAACAAGCAAGCTAACAGTAGGGAAGAGGCCATGCAGCTCCTGCTAACTTCTTCGGAGCATCCCCTATGGTTTCAAAGATGTTGGTAGTGTCTCAGGACAGGTCTAGATTTGAACCCTACAGCAGCATGAGAGAGGGGAACCCTTTGGAAACATGAATAAGTCCACCTAAACCAAAATACTAGGGTTGATACTGTTTGAAAATAATTTAGGAAGCCCCAAAAAGAAAGTTTCAAGGGAAGATGTTGCTTTAAGAGAGTCTTCTGCAGGGAAATTGTTCTAATCTCCCACAGTTTTCTACTAAACACCCTTGGCTCTGACAGAGACTGTGGTTTATAACCTTGACTTCAGAGTCTTGAAGGCAATGGTTTGCTTGTATCCTTCCATCTGGAAGGATAAAGGAAAAAGGGGAATGGGAACATGACAGTTCCCCTCCTCCCTTTCTCCTTGGGTAATATCAGTCCCCTTTAATAGTGCCCCTTGGATCTGCAAGACATGCTTGACCAGACATACCTCTGAAAGAGGTCAGCACTCCTGGGATTAAGAAACTTAGCAACGCTCCAGAGAGGGAGTTAGAAAGTCATGTTTAATGATACTTTGCTGAGAAACTGGGCAAATTTAATTAAAACATCACTTACTCAAGTCCAGTGGAACTAATTGAGTGCTCTAATATTCCAACTTTTCATTAATGGGTTACAAAAGAGAGCTGCACTTGTGTACATGGTGGGGGGAGAAGGGGGAGGATGTAGAGAAGAGAGCCTTAGCAAGGCTGTGTGCTTCATTTAATATAACCAAGAAACTTCATTGCTGGCAACTGAGCTTTAATACAGTTGACTTCTCTCACCACCACCACCCCCAATCCCCTTGACACATGCACACAACTTCTACACACACACACACTCTCCACCCAAACCCCCTCTAAAAGAATAGCTGAATGAGCGAGAGTAGATTTGGCAAAGGAAGGGAAATTGCTTTTTTAATAAGTGGCCTATTCAGAGCTCCTACTTTTCAATAAAAAGAAGGCTGGAGAAGTCCTGGTCTAATTACCTCATCCTCACACTAGACAGGCTCACCCTTTCATTAGAGATTGAGGTCATATCATATAACTTTGTGAGCCATCACGGGCACAACATGTTTGGTGATTATTTCATTGGTTGCAGCAAAATTACAGTCAACTCATCAAGGTTGTAAAAAAAGCAGAAGTAAAATAATTAAATGAGCATGTCTAGCAAGAGACCCTAAAACTAGGTAGGATCTGATAATGTCACTGTCCCAGAAATACAGATTGTTTGCCAGTGTGACACCATGGAGAAACTGCCATGTTGACCAGAATGCAACAGTTGGTTTCCAAACCAGTCAAACAGGTCCTTTTGCTGGGTCTCAAGGGCCTCTTTATATCTTTTGCTATGATTAAGAGTAATTAGATGGGAAGCATTACAGGTTGCTAAAGAATCAGAGTGAGACCACCAAGCTCATACTATACCTTTAATAGATATCCCTCTACCCTCCAAATGCACACATACCCACACACACCTACACCAATGTAGCAGACACTACAAACAGCTCAAAAATAAACTCTCCTTATTCATTCCCAGCCCAACCCAAAGCAGTCAGCAGCATAGCAAAGATTTGTGGGCCTGTAAGGTTTAGCTAATGATGTAGATCTGATTTGGTTAGAGGAAAAACTCGGTGGGCAATGAGCAGTAGTGGAGAAGAGCAGGCTTCAGCCTCTTGCTCCATCACTGTCTTGCTGCATAACCTTGAGAAAGTCTCTGCATCTCAGTTCCTGGTCAAAACAGCAGTAAAGATCCTTTTGCAACTCAAGGGAACATTTAACACCTTAGAGTTTAAGAGCATCATAGCTTTAACAAGCACTCCATGTCAAAATTGTTCACCAAAATGAAACAAGTCAAGGTTGCTTATGCTCCTTCCATATCCACTGAGTCATACTAAATCCAGGTCAAGCTAATTATAAGTAAACTGGGTTAGTCTGAAGTGGTTTTAGTCTATCATAGGCACTAGCTTAGCATCTCCTGATACGAGATGGATAAGACAACAGTCTTAGTTGATGGACAGTGCTTTTGAAAAAATGTGTCAAGGGTTTTATATTTAACCTGCTGCTTTCATCAAGGAAAATACCAGTAGGCTCCGTTGGGGAATCTAAATATTGCCTGTCAGACAACGCTCATCCTCCACCAAGGCTACACTAGAGGTCTCTGCAGAGATGGGCAGAGGAAGGAAGCAAACAGTTTAAATCTGGCCTTAATCTATACCCAAGTATAAGCAGTATCAGAGACAATCCAATAGCCACACTTAGGAAATGTAATGCTCAGACTTTAAATCAGTCTCAATATTTTGATACCTGAAGCAAGGACTGCACACTTTGACCACACCACCACAAAGCCAGTCTGACTAGAATAGCAAGGGCTCTAATCCTCATCTCTGATCCAGATATCTCCAATCATCTCTACAGCACCTTACTCTGGCCAGAGCTTAGGTCTGCGCATCCTGACTTAGACTTCTGTTCTCCTGGGTGCTACCCACCATCTTCTTAAAAGCTTCCTTCTGATGCAATTTCCTTGCTCTCTGCCTGGTTTCACAACACTGTTGTGAATCTAGTGGCCTGCTTGTCTTGCCTTTAGGACATAAAGTGTGATTATTTTAGGAGCAGAAGCAGAGAAATTATTCCAACCACTGCTGCAAAGGGGCAAGGAAAAGCTGTCAGGCAGCAATACAAACTCAAACACAGCGTGGGTGGACAAAAATAGGAACACCAGATCACTGACCTGCAGCAACGGCCTTTGACTTGGATTGCCATGAGGGCCTCAGTGTCTGGACGACCGTCACAACTGTTACTCAGCTGTTTAGCTGCAGATATTACGCTCATGCTTAGAAACCACTGCCAGTGGCCAGGGACTGACCATGCCAATTAAAGTGGAAGCAGAAGGTACAAGACAGTCTGACATTCCCCCTCCTTCCACCAACAACTCTCAGCTGGATCAGGATGGGCAAAAGAGGAGATGCCTTCCCTCTGATTCCCCCTTGGGATTCATTTAGCTCAAAGACAGCTAGATGGTGCAGATCAGGGCTGAAAAATGATCACATCTAAACAAAATCCAGGGCAAGTTTCAGTGATACAATTATCCTGCCTGAAACTAGCGCAGGGTGTAGAGCTGGGAATTAGGCTAAATTCCTTGGGTATGTTTTTTAGACACAAAATTGCTGGAAAGGATATATTCATAAGAGTGGCAAGAATATGCCAATGGCACCTGAAGCAACAGCCTTGAGGCTTTTGACAAGGCTGGATTATGTGTCTCTGGAAAGGAAGGAGAGCTGAAGACATGTCACCACTCTCTCCAGCATGCAACCACAGACTACACAGGCAACCTTCACCATTTTCAGTTCCATTTGTGACAACCAACTCCAGAGAGCTAGGATAGATCCTCAGGGAAAGCAAACCACAGGGATAAAAAAAACATAACCCCACAGAGTCCAATTCACACATGCATTGCCAAAGAACTCCAGAGTTTGCAGGCACTGAGCCATTTAATCCAGAGGCAGGAAAGCTGTCAGCCAAAGTCAGACACCAGCTAAATCCAGGATATTTCCAATCCTGACCTCAGCACTGTCTAGGAGCATCTGGTAGTAGGGAGAGGGGAAGACTTTACTGGCCAACACTCACTGGTGGCATTCTCCAATGCCCCAGCTCTGCTGCAAGGAATGACATTTCATGCATACGCACATGAACAACTGAGCTGGGGTGGTGATTCCTAGAATGCACAACTGGCTGGGCAGCATTTGCCTGGGAAACTGGAGACCCAGGTCCCCATCCCAGCCCCAACCTTCTATCCAATCACACGGACAATAACAAGGCTTAGGAGCTATTTATAGCCTTACAGTATGTCCCCTCTTCAACAGGGAAGCAATGAAATACTGATCCTAGGCACCTGTGCTGGCCAATCTGAGGGATTTTTGTGTTTGAGCAATTCCAGACTAGGTACAGCCAAGTAAATTTGGGGAGAAGATGGAAAGCCCCTTCCCCAACCTCTCCTCTTGCTGAAACTGCAACACACTTTACACTCTTCACATCTCCCATGGGAAAGCCCCCAGGTAGGAGAGCAACCCTCTTGGGGAGGAAGGTGGAGTAAATAGCAGAAAGCACTCAACCTAAGTGCACAGCGAAGGGGAAAAGGAAACAAAAAGTGAAAAAAAGAGGAACTGACATATCCCATCACTGTCAGCTGCAACCCTGGCTCTAGGGAGGTTGAGGGCAGAGTCACAGCATGAGAAAGATAGGCTGAAGGGACTTCAGGGACTGAAAAAAGGCTCTGTCCAAGCTCTGTGCCAGATGTTTGTCCAGTCACCTTCAAAGAAACCCAGCTATGAAAGCATTATGCTTCCTACTTCTGAACTGCTTCTGGAAATGCATCCTTTAACCTCAGCCCTTCCTCCTTCTCCTAACTCACACAGGCCCAGACAATCCATCCCTCCTTTCCATGCTGAGGCAGTTATTCCATTCCACTTCTCATCTTGGAAAGCCAAGAAACTTCCCTCCTAGGTCACATTTTCTAGACTTGGACACACACTTATGTCTGCTTCCACACTCATTGTTTTGCACATTTCTTGAAGCATATAGACCAAAACAGGGTAGTCAGACTTCACCAGTGCCCCAGAAGATCACTCCATGTATTTTGCATCCACGGTTTCCATTTCCTCACCCCAAGCATGCAGAAGCCACCACAGCATGAAGTCACCCCAAAGACCTGTGACTCACCTTCATGCCCACGAGGTTATTGTGGAAGTCCACCCTGGCTCGCAGGTCCTTGTTGGGCTTCCTTCCCAGAAACTCCTTGACAAACTTGTTGCTGTATTTCAGGTTGTCACCGCAGCCACCCCACTGCCAAGCCTCACGGTTCTCCAGGTCAGGGGCCTCATCGCAGGTGCAGCGCTCCATGCGCCCAGCGCTGCACGCCTTGGCCATGGCATGGGTGAGCCCCGCTGAGGAAATGGCATAAAGAAAGGCTGTCTCCTTAAAACCTGGGGAGAGAGGAGAAAGTCCCTTTATTTGAAGACAGAGCTTTATAAAAAAGAAAAAAAAAATGCTGAAATTGGCAAATGCAAAAAGGCTTGAGCAATTGTCAAAGCATAAGTCCTTGCACATCATTGCTGATGCTGGAGAGGACATTATGGTGGTGGAGAGCATGTCATGAGAGTCCTTCCTTGGTAGGAAAGGAAGGAGAGAAGTGGCAGATGCCCAGAATGAAAAAACAAACACACACACACACAAACAAGAAAATCTAGCCAGTCCTGTGGTTGTCATCCCAGAGACCATCTCCGCTTAAACAAAGATGTGAGCAAGAGCTGGACAGGCCACCAAGGTACCATTGCTGTGATATGCTCATATTCCTACAAAGAGGACACCAGTGATGGTCAGAAGCCAGCACAGACTTCCAGCCAGAAAGTTCATACAGAAACCATGGGACTACTTTCCTCTTCTAACCAGAAAAACCACCAAGTCCTGCACCTATTCAATAAAATGGAAGGGCACAGCAGCCAGCTTGCCATCTTCACCCAAACACCTCAAAAATCAGTCTAAACCACTAGTCCACCAAGGTACCATTGCTGTGATATGCTCATATTCCTACAAAGAGGACACCAGTGATGGTCAGAAGCCAGCACAGACTTCCAGCCAGAAAGTTCATACAGAAACCATGAAGACTTCTTTCCTCTTCTAACCAGGAAAACCATGAAGTCCTGCAACTATTCAATAAAATGGAAAGGCACAGCAGCCAGCTTGCTGTCTTCACCCAAACACTCAAAAATCAGTCTAAACCACTAGCCTTTTATCCACCAAATCTTTTATATATAACCCTTTTATTTTACCTCCTCACCTGCAGTGTCATGATAGAATCTGCCTCCCTCAGGTAGGTAAACCAAAGGTCAGAGATGTCCATGATTTCAGTACAAAATATAAAAGCCCAAAATAAAAAGCAAACATGTCAGCATTTATATGCATAGCCATTTTTTAGCATGGAAGCTGTAAATGATTGCATATTTGAGATAGAATTCCAGAACAGCTTTGGATCCAGCTCAAATCCCCCACTCCAAAATAACACAAGTGGATGGTGACAGTAGTGGATTTATCTGCAAGCTGGTGTGTCAACCAAGGACATGCAGAGACACTGCCAGGTCATTTTTGGAACTGTTCATTGGGAGGTTCATGGCTGCTGGGACTGCTGTCTTCACTAAAGGGATGCTTCCATACCTCTTGTACTCCCATGTCAGTGCTGATTTTCATGCCATGAAATAGAGAGGTGCAAGGGTGCCAGCAGAAAGCCCCTACAGCAATGGGGTGTGCAAACTCTCCTCTGGTTTGATACACTGCAATCAGCAACTAACTTCTGGGCTTCAACCAGCTTAGGAGGTATCAGAGACCTACAGCCTCCTGCTTGAAGCCTTGAATCTACAGAGGTTGAGAAATTTCCAAGACAAGTCAGTGCCCAGCATTCACAGCACATACCTGGTTGGGCACAAAGCCAGGAAGAACAGTTCATTTGCCAGGCTCTCCCCTCTCAATCTTCCCACCCGCTTCAGATATATTCTTCCCATTCTCCATCATTTAAAGCCTTGCAAATTCCCAGCGCCCATCAGCACAAGTATCATCTTGCCCTGGGGCAGCTCAGGCAGCTTCCAAGCAAGTCCATGTGACATTTTGGCTCTGGCCAGATTTAAAGCCATCTCCACAGTGCACTATTTGATTGCACCAAGATATTTGGTAACAAGATAATGAGCTTTAAATCAATGCAGGCATTCTAACCTCCAGCGCATCGACAGCCTGCCATCCGCAGCTATCTGGTTTCAGCCATTTCCAAAATTGTTCGCGAGTATCCAAAGAGGATAACAAGTCCCTTAAACAATCCTCTGTTATTTTAAGAAACAGGCTGCATCAGCCCAAGTTATGGAGCAGCAGCCAGGCAGTTCTAGTGACCAAGTACTCCAACAGAAGGAAGGGGAAAATGTTTTGCTTAAAGAGGATTCTTTGGCCTCCTTAAATCATTGCAAAAGCCCCAGGGGAGAGAAGGCAAACCCACAATGATGTATTTGAATAGCTGTGTCTTCCTAGGTTATGCATGTATGCCTTTGCCCCGGGGTATCACTTGCTGCAATGCTGAACCAGGAACCAGCAGCTCCCAGAGCAAAGGGGAGAGATTTACAGGGCAGTGTATTATGTTGCAGAAACAACACCTGAAGGATTTACAGCATCAGCAGTGGGGAGAGATGCTGCACAGGCATAAAGCATGGGAGAATGAGACAGTAGAGAGCCTTGCGACCCCCAGAGCTCCCATCTATTACACAGGATCTTGACAAGGGATTGGGGCTTCTCACTAGTATTTTAAGGCAATTTAGCTCCAGGCTGCTTTTAAAATACCCATGTCACTTGCTGCCTACAGGCAGGCGCATCTGAAGGAACAAGCTGTGGCCTCCAGGTGTCAGCATGAGAAAGTGCTTGGGTTTCCCAAGGCACAGAGAATCCAGGGACTCCTCTGGCATGCAGAGATATTTTTAAACATCTTGCAGCTCAGGCTGGATCCTCTTGGGTTTCATAAGGACTTTCCTTGCTTCCACTGGAGGCAGCGACAGCGCACAAGTTAAGCCCCAACACTTGTGTGACTCGTTCTCACTCATTAGCAAGGGAGGAAACACTGCAAACCTTCATGCTCATCACTGGGCAAGTTCAAGCCCTGGTTTCTAGGTCCATCTCCATCAGCACATGTGAGAATCACCCATCCATGGAACTCCTCCCCAGGCTGAACAACAGACCATAGGGAAA